TTTTGACAAGCATAGTTCTGGTGAATTTCGACGAAATGATATGGATTCAACTGCTGCAGATATTGTCAGAACGAGATCGAGTGCTTTAGAAAATAGCATAACAACAACAAATGGATTCTCCGAGAGTCAAAAGGTCGCTGCCGATTTGAACCCTAGTCCAGGGTCACCACGAAAAAAGAAGAGCTCAATTAGTCTTCGTGGAACTTCCAGAGCGATCTTATGCGCAACAAAGTTCAAAAGAGCCACAAACAGGGACTCAAAGACACCGAACGGTTCACCATTGCCAGATAAAAGGCAGATCGAGGATATTATTGCGAAAGGTGATACAACTGCAAAGGTTGAGAGTCGAGATCAACAGAGCGAAAGACGTAAAGATACCATCGGAATTACACGGAACGAGTCGGTCGAGAAACGATCTCCAAACACCCGACGACGACGATTCCGAACGGACGGAAGACTTCGGAAGGGTGGGATTCACACGAGCATGCTCAGTGTGGCTAGCAACGCATGTATGACAGACTCGGAAATGGAAGACACGGTCAGCATTTACAGTGAAGTGGACTCGCTCGACGATGAAAGAGGAACACGAGGAAGGCGATGGGAAAGTTTCTATAGCAACATCAGTGCTGACAGTGGCTCCGCCCATCTGTTTGAATTCGAAACGGATTCCAATGCAACTGAGTTTGATGAAGTGTTCGATGACCAGGAATCTGAAGGTAAGACGTTGTGTAAGCATCATGGATTGTTAGGTTGACTGTTCGTCACGGTTGCTTTTAACTTTGTTCCTCTTCACAAACTTAGCTTATAACAGGGATGAATCGCAAGACGTTAAAGACGAAACTTGGTGACTGTAGAAATCAAACAAGTCATACGACTAGTGCTGTTTTTGTTGATTTTTTGGCTGGTTTTCCCGTTTAGAGAAAGGAAGAATTTTATGCGTTTTATAATTAGTTAAAAACATATCATAGTATTGCATTTAAATAATCTCAACACACAAAATTATATTCTTTTTAAAATCTCAGCCTCGAGTTTGTTCTTAAAACATTCTTCAAATTTCACAAATTTCAGCTTCGATATTCTTATAAAATATATTCTTGCAGAAAAAAGAGTGTATTCGACTCTACTTTCCCGAGTTCACATAGGGTTCGAAAACTTAAAGTCTTGGGAAACTTTGGTTCACTAACTTTCAAACCCTTCTAATTCTATTCAGATGAGCATCCCAAAAGTGAAGCAGAAGTGGAACGCACTGACAGTGGTGTCGGAGGTGACATGGGCCAGAGTCCCTTGAGGCGCTCGTGGGAGGAGATTGTCATGAAGAGCTCAGAACACTGGTCCGTTGTAGCTGCCTCCGCCCGGCACTGGCAAGAATTGGCCCGCAGAAAGAAAGGTAACGAGGGCGAGGCGACTACAGTGAAGAAAAGAAGCTCAGTGCATTCTATTACAGAGGATATGGTAAGTTTCAAGCAATTAAAACCAATGATTGTCTCCCGTTAATTACCTCCCAATTATTTCTAATCTTGCTAATTTCCCTCCCAATAATTACCTCCTGTTACAGAAAAGCTTGCAAAGGACGAAGTGGAAATGTATCAAAATATTTAATACACATGCTGGGCCATTGGTTTTTAAATCTCTCTCTCCTTTTTTTATTTTACTTACTTAGCTATAGCTTTTGCGCTACGCAATGTTTTGTATAAAGCACCGTCCAAACTAATACGTATCGTAGCCTGTGTCACAGCCACACTCTCAGAGAGAAAACATCGGAGAAAAATCGGCTCTCCGATTTTTTCTTTCGGGGAGAGCGGCAGTGACACAGCCGTACGTTTCGCTAGCGCGTTTTCGTCGACACATCTTCGCCCAGAATTCGCTCATCGTCTCAGGACACTGATGCAATTATAGGGCTCCGTTCTCAAATGCTTCCAAAGTGGACAGCGTTTTCAAATGTATGTGATTTCGACGAAAACGTTGAGCGATTTGGATTGTATGATTGTAGACGGCAGGCCAAAACGTTTCGAAGAAAAACGCTCTGGTGAAGATACGACTTTGTAGTTTCGTTGAACAATCGCAAGAATTTACGTCAAACCATTGCTGTAACAAAAAAGATTGCGAAACACAATTTATTTCAGGGCGTATTTTACATGGCATTTGACTCGACAAAATTGTGCAACTTGCAAAAAATATATTGCCTTTGTTACAGCGCATTTATGCCTTCTTCTGCTAGCTGGTCACCTCTTCTCAGGGTGTGCCTAATTTGAGTTCGCATAAGTGCACTTGTTTCCGTATTTTTTGCCATGAAAAGTTCCGTTTAAAAAGGGTGGTTTCTTGCTTGTTGCTGTCTGCAGGTTGAATGTCCGGGCTGTTTGAAATACTATGTTCCGCCGAAAGAAGAAGACAAAGGGGAAGTCGACGCCAATGAGCCGGAGATTTGCGGAAAATGCAAGGACAGAAAAGTGGAGAGGAAGGAAGCCATTATCGAGCTGGTCCAGACTGAAATCAACTATGGCAATGATTTGCAGATATTGAAAGAGGTTAGATGTCAGATAGTGTATAACCCACTTTACATCAGTCAGGGTCTCAAAGGGGTTTAGGGCTCTATTGCTCCGGGCCTAGAGCAGCGGAGCTCCGGGGCTCCATGGCACCTCCCTAAAAAAGATCAGTGCCCAGACCGTGAAATGAAGGGGGCTGCGGCCTCCACAGCCAAAACGTCCGGGCTCCAGGGACCCCTCTTGGGACTCTGATCAGTTCTAATTCCACACTTTTGAATTCTCTCATTTAACTTTGTCACCAAAAACTATCAAAAAGTGTAAAATGCAGATTTAAAGAGAACGCCAAACGCGCACAAAAATCTAGGAGCCTCTCGAGTTGTCGCAGACCATTGCACTCGAATGCAGACTGCTTTATATGATTGCCATTTTCCTAATTTCTCCTGTTTCCCGGTTATTTTGTTGGTTTTGATTGGATGAAAATAGTACAGTCATGTAAAAAAATAATCAAGGAGCGTCATAAACTAGGGGTTGATCCGGCCCGACGATATTGAAAATTTCAATTTGTATGTGGGCATGTCAGAAAGGCATTTTAACGGCTTCATGAGATAACTCTGTCACTCCAGCTTTTTTGGACGCTTCAACCACGTGATTTATTAACTTCAGCGTTACAAGTCAAGAATTTTAAATTGGAACGATACAGGTAAGTTTGAGTTTCAGAAAGATTTTGCTTCAAGAGAAGCTGCGTCATGGATTACGAGCGAACTAAGACTTACAGGCCTTGAAATCGCATTCAAACTAATTAAGAGCTCGAGTCCGGTTAAATCAAACCTGATCATTAAGCTACATTTCATTCGGCTTTCTACTATGAGATTGAGACATCGGAACGTAGCTGATGAAGTTCTGTGGTTTGGACATTTAAGCCTTCAGGATTCGAGTCAACTCGATTCTGATCGCATCCACAACCCTGTCGATGTGTTCTTCAGTGTTGTAGATGTGAGGCGAGAATCTCATTCTGTTGCCTTTTTTGGTGGATACCCCAATGTTGTAGTCTTCGTACAATATGTCGTAGAGCAGCACGCTTAGCTCAGTGTCGCTCTCTCCCGCCTTGCGCAAACGTTTGCGTTTGCGACCGTCTCCGGCGGTGTCCACCTCGTCCTGGAACTTGATAACTATGATGCCGTGGTACTGGCTCAATCTTGGTGGCGTCTCAATCTTGAACACGGTCTGGCCGAGCTGCCTGAGGACTTTGTCTAAGCCGTCCCTCAGCCGGGTGGCTAGTGCCTTGATCCTCTTCTCGATCATGTCAAAGCCGATGAGCTCCATCAGATCTGCAGTGTACAGCATCCCGATGAGGTTGGTGTCGTTACGCTGGCCAACCATCTCAAACTTGGACGCATCCGTAATTGGGAATGGCTTGCCGTAGGGGTCATCTGGGAGGGTGGGCGGGGGCTGCATCTCTCCGTTGTACCCGATGTCTTTGGGCGCGAAGTTTGGAATACGCTCTCTCTTCATGTACAGCATGCCGGTTTCCTTGGGTCCCAAGAACCACTTGTGGCTGCCTCCGCTGTAGCTGTCACAGTCCATGGCTTTAAGGTCATGGTTGAAAGCGCCCCAGGTCTGCGCGCCATCCACATGCACATGGACATTGGGGTTCTTCTTGTGGATCTGATCAACCAGAGCTTTAGTGGGCAGGCGCGTGCCACTTAAATGAGAAACCTAACGTAAAGAATAATAAACAAGTTGAGTTACTGGATTAGAGATTGTACAATAGCTGGGAGTTGGACATAAGTTACCGTTTAATTGAGTTAAATCGATTATAAGCAGAAGCGAGCTAAAACAACTTGCGTCGGAGAACAAATTAGGCTGAATATAATTTATTTTCCTAACTCTTATTTCTCAAAAAGTGAGAAAACTATTTCATTTTTCAAAACTTTTAAGCGACAGAGATAGTAACAGCATTTAGTGCTTGTCTTATGCACTAGGATGCACTAGGAGGTCTATGACATAAGGCACAATAGCCCTTTACAAGGTTAACGTTTCTCGTTTGCATTACAATATATCCAGGGAACAGGGATGGCGCAGTGGTGAGAGCGCTCGGCTCCCACCAATTGGCCTGGGTTCGATTCCGGCCCGGTGTCATATGTGGGTTGAGTTTGTTGTTGGTTCTCGCCTTGCTCCGAGGATTTTTCTCTGGGTTCTCCGGTTTTCTTCCTTCCACAAAAACCAACATCTCTAAATTCCAATTCGACCAGAACAGAGGACGTGCATGAAAATCAGCTAAGGCTGATGTGTCTACCTCTCTAAATATTGTAATTTTATGTAATTTTTCCTCTTTACTCATGCTTATAAGGACAATTGCTATCTAAACCCCAGTTTGGTTTTAAAATTTTAATAATAATGATAAATGAATTCTATCGCCCGGGCAACACAGTCGAAGTGATATACTGCCTCTCATCCACGTTGGATTACATTGTAATGCAAATGAGAAAAGCTGACTGTGGAAAAAGGTTTTTGATGTGTTTACTGACAAGTATCAGTCTGGAATATTACAATGTCTATCAGTTGTCTCACGCGCTCATTGGTTTATTCGCACCATTGCATAATTAAGGGGCGAGCAGATAAAAACAATTATCGCTTTCTTCAGTGCTTACGAAAAACGCCCCAAAAGACACAAATCTTAAGTAGAGAAAATAAGGGAGAAAAAAAGCAGAATGAAACTTAGATCTTATTAGAAGATCGTGTCAGCGAGGTCACCACTCTACTGAACTTGTAAGAAACTGGTGAAGATAATTGTCAAATTTTTCATACGTTCTTTTGCTAGCTTTCACCATCCTTAACAGAGCGGATTCATTATACAACTAATAATAATGCCTATCAACTTGTCCATTTCCCCCTGCTGGCCCTGTCAATCCCAGGATTGGCCAAAGTTTAAAGGTTGCAAGGAAACCCATAATTTCGATTTGTAAACATCAAAAACCAAACAGAGCCACACGCAAAAAACTGCTCATTTTTTTTTATCATTTCAGCTTTCATATGAGTTGTCATATAAGTTGTCACTGCTCGTTTTAACTTTCATGTGAGTTGTCAGTTGTTAGAGTCTTCTCGACAGTTCTAAGCGTTTGAACCAATTTATATGCATAATGTATTTTGGGTGCGACTTAAGTCGACGGTCGGTCTGTAAAAAGATTAATTAAACTGGCTGTGTGACCCGAAAATAACATTTTAATGGTAGGAAAAAACAGTAATAAGAGGGCTTAAGACATGCATAAAATTGAATCCAATCCGTTAAATTTGTATATATACTTTTTCAACATCGAATTGGCCTGACTTAATTTCTTAGGCACGGTCTTAATGTGTCGCCTGTAAAAAAAATTAAAAAATAAAGGAAAAAAACAGAGAAAAACATTTGAACCTACCTCACTGAATGTAACAAGTCGGGTTTTGTCATTGACATACGATAAGAACTTTTCTACTATCTTGACATCGTCTTTTTCTCCTTCCAAGTCGCACACAACGAGTTTCAAATTAGGAAAGCGGTTCTGCCTGATCTTCCAACCTACTTCTCCATCAGTTGGGTGATTCTCGCTCCACACCACCACCTCATCACCAGGGTTGAAATCCATACCGTTGTTGATGACGCCGTTGGGGTCCGAGCCATTCCTACAGAGAGCAAGCAGGTCTGGTTCCACGTTCAGCTGGGAGGCGATGAGGATCCTCGCTGCCTGGATGGTGTACACAAAAGGCTTGATTCGCTTCTGGATGGAGATGTCTCGGTTCCAATCTAGAGCCATGGCGTTCATGCAGTGCTGCACCGCGTCGATGGTGACGGACAAGTTGGCGGCGTTGATTGGGACGCAGTCAGCGTAGTCGTCGAACGCGAACAGGGTGCGGACGTATTCCCAGAGCTTCTCATCTTCGTTCGACAAACTGTTTATGGTGGTCACGATCTCCACGAACGTTTTCTCGAAACTCAGAAACGTCTCACGGCTTATGAGTCCGTGAGCTCGATACAAGCGAGCAACCTGGAACGTGGGGCGATTTTCGGGCGCCTTTGGATTGAGTGGTTCCATGGTTCTGCAGGTGACTTAAGGAATCACAGATTAGAAGCTCCCTTCAAACGTTCTGCAGCGAGACTGCGATGCTCGTACGTGATCACCTTTTTTTCTATCAATGTCTCATGCTGACAGCTGTCCTAACTTTTAAAAAGTTCTTTGTCCGAGAAACCAATAGTATCGAAACCCAATAACAGTTTTTACTCCCGCAAATGGTCAACAGCGACCGTAAGGTCAAAATCGTGCTAAAAAAAGAAAAACTGATTAATTCTGACATCGTACGTGCTGCTCCAGCACGTAACGCGTTTAAAAGTAGCGTAAAATATACACCTTTACCAGGACTATAGAAAAGCTAGACATTCAACAAAATGATTTTTCCCAATGTGCAGCTATGTGCCATTTTTTTGAACGATTCTTTTTGCAGAATTCTGGTTACATGTACATTAAGAAAGTAAACAAGCGATACTCCACATGACCTTCAGTAAACCAAAGGCGTGTTTATATGGCTTTTAAAGTTCTATAATTTATTCGAAATTCGCGAGTTAAGCCTTACTGTGACTAATCACTGGAATTACGGGACCAAGGAACTTCAGTGGCTTAGTGTTTCATTAGGCTGTACATTTAAATTCAATTAGTTCTTGTGAATGTCACGAAATTGTATAATTTATTTCGCCGAAATTGATTGTACAAAAAACCCACCAAATTTAGTGAGTTTTACATCGGCTTTGTTTCATAGTCTAGTCACAGCTCTGCGGCTGCAGGTTGTCAGTTCTCATTTCTATACAGTTCCAGAGTTCTAGAGTTCCACCACGCCACAATTCCAAATTCGACGATTTCCGGATCGGTGGTTCCACAGATTGTTTGTTAATCTCCAGCGGCATACGGTTTATTCGGCTCTTGTCCAAAAAAATCTTATGCTCTCGCAGGCTAACTCCAGCTGTACTTTATACTTTTTCCAGACTTCAAGCCGTTTTCAGAATTTTTACGGACACCAAGGTGTTTTTTCTTATGGGAAATAACTGAACAGTGTCCTATTTTGCCTGTCATACTTCAGACAGGCTAGCTGTCGCGATCGTTATGCCAGTATGCAACCGGAAGGTTTCTGCAGAGTTCAACAATAATCTCAGGATTTCCTTTCTCCCTGGATCATCTTTCCTTTGCGGTTATAAACAGTGTCATAATTCATAGAGGCATAGTTCAAGGACCCACTCCCACTGTTGTTTACTGCTTTCGGGTTTNACTTTTTCCAGACTTCAAGCCGTTTTCAGAATTTTTACGGACACCAAGGTTTTTTTTCTTATGGGAAATAAACAGAGTGTCTTATTTTGCCTGTCATACATCAGACAGGCTAGCGGTCGTTATGCCAGTATGCATCCGGAAGGTTTCTGCAGAGTTCAACAGTAATCTCAGGATTTCCTTTCTCCCTGGATCATCTTTCCTTTGCGGTTATAAACAGTGTCATAATTCATAGAGGCATAGTTCAAGGACCCACTACCACTGTTGTTTACTGCTTTCGGGTTTTATGAATTGTCTAGGATGGGCGGCAACTCTATGGGGTGGAGAATCTAGGCTCGATTTCCGCCGCTTTCTCGAGTCCGGTCTACGTTCCTCCCCGAGAAGTGAGTTCGGGGCAGGAGCGCGGGCTCTTTTCCCGAACAGCGGCTGGTAATCGAGCCTATGGAGAATCAGGCGATGCTATTTTTGACAGTAAACTCGCGGGGAGCATTGGAAACATAAAAACCTGTATTCAAAATAGTCTCTGAAATGCGGTTGCATCAGCACGTCTCAATGGGGTTAACCGTTAGCCGTAAACTAAACGGGCCAAAAATGCAAAAATATTAATTGTAATCCCCAAAAGTGAAAGTCTCAAAATATCTTGTCAAGACTTGTTTGTGACTTACATTGTGGCTTGTTAGCTATATTAGTTTACAGCTCTAGTTCCTTTATGCTGCGGAATCGAAACTAGTGTTGGTGTCAAGATCTGCAACGGATATTTTTTGACACTATTTTTACGCAAAATGTAAGAATACCCACGACGGTAACATTTGATATCAAAGTAAAATGGTCCGTATTAACTCGTATTTGTCATTGTCTTGCAGGAATTCTACTTGCCAATGCAGTCCGGAGGAATTTTAAGTCCCGAGCACCTAGCTGCAATCTTCCTCAACCTGCAGGTAGATACTGAACGTGACAGAAACCGACGTTAGATAAATACTAATAAATATTACGTGAGGTCTTTGAGCTTATAGATATTTAGGATCACGTATGGGGTCAATATTGAGCCACGTTTCGACACGTTATCATTCGCGACTAGCTTTGGTTTATTTTTTTTAATTTCTCGTCCAGAAAAAAAAAAAACCCTGCATTCTCGTTAGATTGTAGGTTTGCGCATCTAGAAAAATTTAGCCTAAATTTTTCAAGTTCGTTGTTTGTAATCCGTGTTAATCTTCTCAATCCTTGACCATCCTTGTTCCTTTATGGTTTCTTATTATCTCATTGGTGTTTTTTTTTTTGTCTTAACCTTAGTAAACTATTAGTTATTCAGTTTAAAAGTAATTTTGTACATGGCTAGAATACCGTGACTGAGTCGCCTTCAAGCTCGTCACGCAGAAGAATGTCAGCGTAGGCGGCTGTAGAAATTCATTAACAAAATAATTATAATAAAGATAACATTTGTTTGTTTTTTTTTTTTACGGATAATAAATACCCGAGAGTACTAGAGCAGAGGTCAGTTTTGTTCTGGTCAGTCGGAACAGAATTCAAATGTAATTTGTTCAAGAATTTAAATGTAATTACATTTTGTAAAAGCCCGCTCTTTTTTTTTTTTTCGCGCTTGAAATCCAACCGTTTAGCGTTTAAAAGCAACCTGTGCTGTGATAATTAGGGTTAAATTTTTCGATATCCCTTTCTTTTAAGAACTAGTTTTGTTTGAAACCTCTGTTTTAACATTAAGTCATGTCTGTTTTTGTAATAGAAGCTTAAAGCAATTATGCCCAACTTCATTCTATAGTCGAGCTAGAAGCCAAAAAGAAAAATCATATGCAAGAAAAAGCTTACCAAAAGCTATTTTTCACCCTTGAGAATTGTTTGTAGTTTATACATAAGCCCATTGTTTTGACGAATTGTCCCACACGCGATGAATTCAAGAACACTCGAGTTGATCCAGATTCACTCAAGTGTTTGCAACAGATTATGTAAACTTTAAAGGTGCTTTTCATTCTTTTCTGAATATAAAATCAAGAAATGTAACTTATGCTTACTTAGGTTAATTTAAACACCCAGCGTGTATTCAGCAAAGTTTTATAGGGGGAGGTTCTACCCTGAGGTCCCACCCTTACCCTTTTATATACCATTGTTGACCGAAAAGGCAACCCTTTCATGTACCTTCCATAAAAAATGGTATCCTTTCCACAAAGAGTCGGACCTCAGTAATTCGAACTCGGTTTTTTAGAATTCCCCGTTATTTCGAACTCCAAACCATTTCTCTTGGTTGTACTCTTTAGTCATCGGCTATTTTGAACTCCCATTATTTCGAACTATTTTTCGGTTCGAAATAACGGGCTTCGACCGTACCCACATTACGCTCTGCAAACTCACTTTGCATCGGTAATTGATACCCTGGGAATTATGCAATGGAAAGAACAGTTAAGAGAACTTTTAATTAATGCCATATAGTTTCTTGTCTATTACACATAGCTTGAGAGCAAGTTAACCGTCCCTGCTTTTCTCGAGCAGAAGCCATTTTTATGAAATAGTGTTTTTTTTCGTAGGAATTGCTGGAAGTGAATTCAAAGTTTTGTGCTAAACTGCAGAAAAGTCTGGAGGAATCGGTGGCAAACGGTGATGAGGTATAATTTGCTCAGTTTATAATAACTGTCCTAAGGTTGAAATGAAATTAATTATTCAAGCCATTATAACAGCCTGAGGTATTGTAGTAAAATTCTATACTATTTAGGCCCTTTCCACATTAATGCGTTTTCGTTTGAAAACGCGTACTTTTTGATGCGTTTTCGCGTCGTATGTAGAGACATTTGAAAAGAGAGCTCTATCGTATTACTGTGAGCAACGTAAACTGATGGAGGCTTTCGAAAAGCTGACATCATTCACAGCATCTTGTGCACATATGCATATAACAGTTATGGCGTTTATTTATGGCATAGCAGCATTTTCAAACCTTTTATTTAGTGCAGACGGGGAAAACGTTGCGAAAGCTTTAGTGTGGACCGGAAGCGTTTTCGACGGAAACAAGTCGCTTTTAAAACGCATTAGTGTGGAGGTGGCTTAGAATGACCTCGGCTGCATGGCAAGCGCGGAAAAACGTGTAACCAGTGTCAACGGCAGGAAAAATAGACCAATTTCGATATATTAAACTTCAGGCTAAAACAGTAGACTTCAGTACGAGGCTCTGGGGAATAACTACAGAGTTTGTGGGGTTTATTCCCCAGAGCCTCGTGCTGAGGTCTATTGTGTTAGGCTGAATTTTAATATATTGAAATTGGTGTATTGCTTTAGGACAAATCACACTTGATGTTGGCTTTTGTACATGATCGGCTGAAAGTCAACATCGATCTTCATAATTATTAGTTGGAAAAGGTCGTACATATAAAATGTTGCTATTTTTTTGAATTGTGTATTGAATTTCCACCTCAAGTTGAAAAGAAATTGAATTTCCCACTTTTTTTTGGAAAACCAAAGAACACCGAATCAAATAAATAGCTGAGAAAGTGTGGTAAATTCAGCTCATGTTCTCAAGCTAGCATTTTTAAGGTTTCAGAGCTAGGTTAAATTAAAAGATTAATCCTTCGCATTTTATTTCTAGGAGTTTTCTAACGTTAATGTGGGAAGCATTTTCCTTGAAAGTGTTGACTTTTTCCAGGCGTACGAAATCTACTGTTCAAAACAGGTGAGAATGTAAACTCTCCTTACTAAATGCCTTATCCCAGGCCTCCCTCCTTGGTTTGAGCGCGGTGCGCGTGGAGTTATGGGTCTACCACCGCGCTCGAAAGTCGCAACCTAACCATAAAGCACTCCGGGCTTCGCCTAAGAAACGCAACGACGCCTTGGCACGAGGCAGCCTCACTGATCGAAACGTTCAAGCGCCACAAATTTTTCAGCAAAGTGTCGACTTTCATGTTTCAATCTTTTCATTTAGATTATAATGTATTTAAATAATATGTCTAGCGTCGTGTGTGCTTGCAATTCTCTCGTCCGCATCAAGTAACACCGAAAATCTGCGTGATAACTTTACCAAGTTACTTCCACTGTAAAGACAAAAATAAATAATCAACTAAAATCGTTTTGATACTCTCTGGTAGAGCAGGATGAACTTTTAATAAGTAACATGAAATGAACTGCACAAAAAGTGTGTACCTTAACTAATTAGTAGTTTTGGTTTCCGTTTGCAGACTGCAGCCTCTGCCTTATTGGAATCCCTTCAGAAGAAAACAGAACTGCTAAGAATCTTTCTAAACGTAAGTG